CTTCTTAAATCTTAATCTTCTGTTATCCATTGTAAGGATTCAGAAACACTTTCAACTGCTGGCAAAAGGTATCAGATAATCAATTATTATCAAAAAGCGGTTTCAATTATTATTGAAAAATCTATTGGCATGTACCTACTTGAAGAGTGATCTCTTTGTGGAAAAAACTAGAAATGTGAAGCCGGTAAGGCAGAATTAAGGTTATAACTATAAGATAACATAAATGAAAACCCAGTTACCCACTAGAATTAACGCCACTCATAAACTGAGAATTAGGGAAAATTTATAAAATTAAATAAAATTATCCACTATCAAAAACCAGTTTATGAAAATAATTAGTTAATGAAAGAAAGGTCAAATGTGGTAAAATTTGGTGAATTGTATTTAAAAAATAGATTCATTTGACCCATTCTTGCGTGTTAAATATATTTTGGAGGACGTAAAAAGTACACTTGACTAAGTGTTAAATTAGGTTTTAATCAAAGGTAAATTTTATTTACCTAGTGTTAAACATATTTTGGTTAATGTAAAAAAACACAGTATTGAGTGTTAAAAGTATTTACTAATCAAGTGAAAATTGGGACTCCGATTAACATGACTATTATCTGATGCTGGTATCCATCACCACAACTGTTTTCTGGTTCTTCATTGGAGTTGAGGAGCCATGCATCAAGTTCAGATGCAGTTCGTGTATTTCCATCAATTGAAAGCGATGAAAGATTGGTTTTTCAGAGGGGCGTTACTACTTTTCAAATTTTTGTAACTTGTATCACCGAGTTATTTCTTCTGACTTTGCAAGTGCAATTTTTTTTTTTCGCTAAAACAACAGATCTTTATTTTATAATGGTACTCTTTATGGAGGCGTATTGCGTAGCGTGATAGGACATTTCCTTGCGAGTGCGCATATCCGTAAAAAAAAAAAAAAAAAAATGTGCCTTATTTTTTAGTAAATAAGTATGCTTACCTAGATCCACGACATCTTCATACGAAAAATCATCATTTAATTTACAGAACTTTCCTTTGTTTCTATGAAATAATTCAAATACATATAATGAACTTTTTGAGTTTTCACCTGAATTTTAGCCTGAGATTACACATTTCACGAAATTTGGAAACGATTGAAAACGATTAAAGATGCATCACGCGGGACCAGAACCTTTAGGTACAACTACAACTGACAAACTGACGCGATTTTTAGGTAAGGGTTAGACCACCAGCAACGCCTAGAGTTGAATCGACCCTGAGGAGTGTTATTTTAACCAATTTTCGGGTTATTTTAACACTAACGCAATTTTTTACACCAGCGTGAAAGAAAATATCCTTTTTGTAGTGTGAAATTTATTTAAACTGTGTTAGAATAACACAAAAAGAGATAAAAATGTGTTTATACGAAATTTATCATTCGGATAGTGGTCATCGAGTGTTAAAGTGTACAAATAAGTATATTTTTTAGTTTTATTTTTAACACCTCTATAATTTACCTTGTGATATATACTTTTTACCACCGCATCATTTTTTAATGTGTAGGTCAAAAAATAATAGCTCTTCAATAACCCACTCAACCCAGGAAACTGAATTGGAAAAATATGATGGAGTGTTTACCTCGATAAGCAGCTTCACTTCATTCGAGAAAAGTACAAAATCCTCGAAAAAGGAAAATTTAATACACCCAAAACCAACGGGCTAAACAACAAAATATGGGTTTAAAAAAAATTAGCTCAGAGGATCCAGTTGTATCCTCCTGACAAGTTTGTCATGAAGGCTGTAGATTGTTGAAGGGATCTTCCTCTTATCGCAAAATAGTGCCTCATTATCCACAGAGAAGGTGGGGAAAATAGAGAGGGAAATAACCATCGGAAAAATCGTCAATTGCCGAAATTCCTATGAACCAGGCTACTATAATAAGTCTGGAGTCTAATAAAAAATGACGGGTCTAGAGAACGCACTCTAAGGATAGATAGGAGATACCACAATAAGTCTGACAAGGTTGCAGTGGTAGAGCACGCCTCCGCGCCATCTTTATTCAAACAAATCTACAAATCTACAATTTACTATAATAAATGAAATGATAATATAAGTGGAGGTATTAGCAGATTAACTAAATTGACTTTAGCTCGATCAGACTCCAAAACAAAAGAATAAAGTAAGAGAAACAATACAAATAAAATAAAATATTAGACATACAAGATATAGATCATCGATCGACTTAGATGTAAAATTTAATAAATCATCTCTAATAAACAAATCGACGTCACACTGACAGCATTAAACTTGGCAAAGCTATAAATTGAAGACCATAATTGGTCAAATAATTTGAAGAAGCACACTGGACCAAGATGGATGCCCTATAACAGAGAAGCATGCAGCCATGAGAAAGAGGCATAGGTCCAGGGGAGGACCTACCAGATTGATGTGAGAGGTATTTAGATGAGTACCAGTGCGGTGTATACTGTGGACGTTGAAAACAATACGCCAATTATTAGCAAAAAAAAAATTATAGAGAAATTTTTCGTAACAAAGTTTTCTGTGCGACCAATAGTTTCAGAGAAAAACGCAAAAATCCAGCGTGGTGCGGGCGCGGGTGCGGGTTGATTTTTGAGGGTGAAACTACCACTTGCGGGTCAGGAACTTTTTTTGTTTTAGAAAACTCGCGAAGCTGTATTTTTTTGAACCACTGTTCTAGGTCTAATACCAATGTTCTAGTTCATTCATTTGATCATTTACATCTTCTTATATAGTTTCCTTGCCAGGAGTTTGTAGAACGAACAAAATATGCTCTTGTGAGATTTCCGAAGAGATAGTTTCCAGCTCTCCCTCTCGGACTACTGAGCTAGTAGTCAAGATGACATTGAACTGAAACCGTACTACTCTCCCAGTAACTCTTTATCCTGATATGTCGTTTTATATACTTCGTACCTACGTTTATTTACATTTAGAGACATAGGGTGACTGATCCAGTAATGGTCACCGACCCAGTAATGGACATCGATTTGGCTACATCTCTATTAAAGCACCTGACATGATGTGCTGAAATACCAAACGGCTTGCTCTAATTCTCTGTCAAATGTCAAATTAAATCAACATGGCCAAACGAAATCAACTAATATTTTTCATGTTTTGATAGGCGGAACGTTTATAGTTTTTGTGAGTTATAAGGAAGAAAAGAAAGTATTTCTGTGTCACTCCAGGTAAGTTGCAATAGTAAACACATACGTGCGTGTACCGAAACATAAACTTACTCTGGTTATTCAATTTTCGCCTTGATTTTATGCGGTGACCATTACTAATACATCGAAATAAGGAAGGCATCAATCAGTCTTGGACACAAGTGTGTCCATTACTGAAACACATGTTTCTAGTAATGGTCACCCCTCTTCAAAAGACGAACTAGGTACCTATGACTGCGTTTTTTTAGACCCACATTTGATGACCTACAACTCAAAATTTCAGGTACCTACTATGGAAAAAAAAAGGACTAAAGAAAAAGTGAGGAAATTTTTGGCCTACAGTGAAGATGACCTAAAAAAAGCAATAGAGGCTGTAAAAAATGGCATTTCAAAGAAGACTGCTGCTCGTATGCATAATGTTCCCCGTTCTACATTAAAGAGGAAACTATCTACGCCTTCTTTAACCAGTAGAAAAATCGTTCCTGCAACGGAACTTTCAGAAATAGAGGAGAATATCATTGAGAACTGGATATTAGCCAGGGCAAGAAAGGGATTTCCTGTCCATAAACAAAATCTCATTTCATTAATTAAAAAAATCCTTGAAGAAAGTGGAAGAGAAACCAAATATCTTCTCAACACCCAGTCGCTCCTGGTTTGAGGGTTTTTTAAGGGGCATGCTGAGTCGATAAGTGAAGCCCGAGCTGCCATCTCTCAAGATAGAATAGAAAATTATAGATAGAAATTAATGGGCTTGACCCGTCAATAAATAAATAAATAAATAAATAAATAAATAAATAAATAAATAAATAAATAAATAAATAAATAAATAAATAAATAAATAAATAAATAAATAAATAAATAAATAAATAAATAAATAAATAAATAAATAAATAAATAAATAAATAAATAAATAAATAAATAAATAAATAAATAAACTTAAAGTCAAACAACATTCAAAGGCCAGTTCTTCTATTTTTCGACGGCCATCGCTCCCACATTACGAAAGAAGTTAGCCAACTCTGTGATAAAAATGGCATTATATTGGTGTCGTTTTTTCCCACATAATGCAGCCAGCAGATGTTGCAGTATTTAAGCCACTTAAGGCAGGTTGGGCATCTGAAGTAAGAGATTGGAAGTTCAAAAATTTCCCAAAAAAAGTTACACGTCGTACTCTTGGAATAATACTAAAGTCTGTATTTGGAAAGTATGCAAATGTCATTTTATTCGAAATGCATTCCAAATAGAGTAATTTGCGTAGAAACTGTTCAAGGAGAAACAAATTCAGATGAAAGCCAGGGAACATCATTGCAACTTCTGCAAGTCTTGGAAAGCAAGATTGAAAAGGATGAGCGTGACATGTTTTTAAAAACCTATTTAAATAAGAATAATTCTAGTTACGGGATATCAGTTATTTAAAGCTTTATAATGTTTGGGCATCACTTAAGCAGGAAACTGAAAAAAATCAAGAATTTGAGATACTTGGTGAAGATGACCATGGATCAGGAACAGAAAAACGACAGAAATCATCTGTGAAAACCCCTGAAAAACGAGAATCCTCCAAAAATATCAACATTTATTCATCACCAGTTGCTGGCCCATCAACTGGTGCTGGAAAACTCCACCAGAAAAATATACTCTGTACTATGGGGAAATCGAAAAAAAAGCATACAAGGTTCCTACACCATTTAAGAAGTACCTTATATTTCCAAATCAAGAAGACATTTTATCGAAAACTCCAAAGCAGAAAAGCAAAATTTTTCCTGCTGTGGTTTCTAGTGTAAAGTATGAGGAATTTTATGAGGCTTCTAAGAAAAGAATAGCTCAGAATCAGACATGGAGGTTACCTATAACGATGAGGATCTTGATCTTAGTGAACCAGAAAACCTTGACTTGCAGACTGGCCTACACGTTATCGTTAAATATGAAGACAACTATTACCCAGGTAGAATTAATTTGTTGTTCCTGCTATAAGTCTGTATGTTTTTCTTAGTTATTAGTTTTAATACTTACCCTTGTTACAGGAACCGTTCTAAAACATGATCTTGAAGGCGCTGAAATTAAGACCATGGTGAGTGTTGGCATTGAGGCTTGGAAGTGGCCAACAAAGGAAAATGTGCTCTATTATTTCAATGAGGATATTGTGTGTATCATCAAAAAATCAAAAGCTGTGTTAAAAAGTTATTCAGAGCCAACCCAAGGGTAGTTAGCTTCGCTAGAAAAAGAAAATTTCTTGAGGGTGTCCATCACTGGGTCAATCACCCTAAGTAATAAAAGCTCATTTAGAGTTGCGGGGATTTTTGCTTGCCATGAATAACGGCCTTGAAGCGCTTTTGGCGGAACTTGAACTGGCTGGGTTGTCAACTATTCTGTAGCTGATCCGAACCGCATTTCTCGCATCTATAAATGAACAATTCGATAAGGCAATGCAACTCACGCACCTTAGAGATAAATTGTGCTTACTCTGGGAGTGTCCAAAGCGCTGTCTCTTTTCTACCTTGATGCGCAGTCAATCACAGCTACGAAACAGCAGTAGAAATAGTACTTTTGGATGACACAAGCTCGACGAGTTAGCGTTAAAGCCCCTCAGAAAATATGTCTGGGTTGAATGTACATCCAGAGTATTGAAAACGCGAAGGTACATCCTTCTCATGTCTACCTTAGGCTCTAAAAAGAACCCATTGGGATGCGTTCCAGGATAGAGCTTGAAACGAATCAAAATAATGAAGTTTTTTTAAACTGACTTTTGAGGCGGGCGGGCGGGCGCCGGGTGTTCTATTGTGTGATTTGAGTGAACAGACATTTATGTGATTCTAGAGATTTATTGATCAAATGTTTTTGTACATAAAAGTTTATAAGCTAGCCAGTTCAAATAGGTAGGAGAAATGTTATAGACTTGAGTGAATTAGTTCAATAGGAGTTGTTATTGTTAGTGAAGAAGAGACTTTTGGTGCATTAAATTTGAGCTAATTAGTAAAATAATTGACAGGGTAACTAGTGGTATAGTTTGGACTAATAAGTGCGAACGCTAATCGAATCCAAAAAGTGATCTTATTACTGATTTTTACATTCAAAAAACTACCAGAGAGCGATTTTTCTAGAACATTTCATCGTGTTCTATTTGAAAATTAACCAGGTTACGCGAATTTTGACCACGCGACCCGATTCTATATTCAAAATCAAGTTTCAATAAATAGAGTATTTTATGGTGGATACTCGAAATGGAGTAACCTAATCATGGACTTCATGAGAGATATAGAAGACAAGAGGTTAAAAGAATAGATCCAGGAGTGGTTTGCAACACTTTTACCACAACAAGAAGATCGGAGTCAGGAAGAAAAAAAAGATCAGCAGGACGAGCTTTCAAATTTCAGCGAGAATGGATGGAAACCGTAATCTCTGAGGAACAAACCAGAATAGAGAAATTCCTAAAATGACAAGATGATGAATGTAATAGATGTATTCATCATCGATTTACACATAGCACATTAACTGAAATAGTGATTTTATTACCGGATTTGAAATCTAAAAACACGTTCACAAAAGGGGTTTTCCGGAAAATTCCAAAAACTTCTATAGAATTCCATTTGGAAACCGTCAGTGATACAAGCAAAGTGACTTCATTACTGGTTTCGATATCGGAAAACAAGTCCACAAAATAATTTTTCTAGAACATTCTGTCTTGTTCTATTTGGGAAATTGACTTCGACATAGAACTTTAGATCTAAAATCAAGTTTCAAAAATACAGAATATTCTATGGTTGGTAATAAACGACAGCAAACAGCCGAAATGGTTCAGGTTAATCAATTGTTGGTGGACTTTGTGAAAAATATGGACAAGAGACAAGAAGAGGAATCCCGCAGAGAGAACAAGAAACATGGCGAAAAAACAGGACCGACTAGCAGCACTTCTACAACAACAAGAAGACCAAAGTCAGAAAAAAAAGCAAGAATAACAGGACCGACTCGCAGCAGTTTTACAATAACAAGAAGACCGAAGATTGACGAAAAAAATAATAAGACCGGCTTAGAGAAAATTTTAAATTTCATCCAGAATAGATGCAAGCTATAATCTTTGAGGAATAAACCAGACCATACCAGAAAATCCCAGAAGTGCAAGACAATAAATTCAAGAATGCAATGGGAGAAGTAGGTACCTACGTGAAGAAGTTGGGAGTGTTCGCAAGCAAGTTGGTTTACTCAGGAAGTTGGAAATGTTTTTCAGGAAGTTGGAAAAAATCGCCAGAAAATAAGGTTCTGGAAAAAAGAGTGAAGAGTTGAAATGTGGCTTAAGGTCAGGAAATCTCATCTTCGCCTGCAACCGGTATTAAAGTAAGACCACTACCAAACGACTGTCAGACATCGTGGGCAATGTACAGACGTCAGTTCGAGACTGTTACAACGGCTTTTTGCTGGAGCTGCAATGTCATTGGCTTGGTTATAGCATTGCGTGGCCTATTAGAGAATTTGTCTCCTGCTTTCCAACAAAACTATGGATTACTTGTTGATGTGTTAGAACGTTGGAACAATAGAAAGCTGCGGAAAGCGGAAAGAATTTGTAGCCGATATCCGCCACCGTCTGGTTGATTTGGCCTGGTCGTTAACAGTAGCCAGTAGCAGAAATGAGAGAACAACTAGCGGTGGAAAAATGGAGTAGCCGATATGGACTCACAGAGAAAGTTAATCATAACCAAACCATGAAGTAGCAGCAAAGCTCTTATCAAAGCCCTAGAAATAAAGCGGCATATAAGTTATCCAAAGCAAAGATCAGGGCTGCGTTAACTCGAGAAGGAGGTTAGGTCCAGACGCAATCAAGGGTACTGGAAAGGGGGTATTGAATGTTACCGCTGCGAAAGAAAAGCGCATTTTCAGCGTTATTGTAGAATGTGGTAATGGGTAACATGAAAGGGGGCTCAGATCAAGGTAGAAACTGCCTCAGATTTGAACCAAGTGAAAGAGTTTCTGTTAGCAGCCTCCGATTCAAACTGGATCAAGCACGGAGTTACGAACAGCCAGAAAGTGATCAATTGGAAAATAGTGACATCGAATCATTTCTGAACATTAGAGAAAGCGGTAACAGATCACTAACAATATCGAGAAAAGAAAGGTCTGGCAAGCCCAGAAAGAAATCCCATGAACAAGAAGGTTGCTGGAATTGGACTGCTGATCCAGAAGGTCAAAATTATCCTTTAAATAGCCGCTCTACAGATTTTCAGGAAAAAGACTACGAGAGCTATGACTATCCGCGGAGGTGCAGACAAGGCGGCTGGCGGCGTGGCAGTCAACAGGAAACAGGTAGCCAATTTCCTAATTCCCATAAGGTCAGTTCGCGCATCTTGATAGAGTCATATCGGGAGGATTTGATTTAAGACGAAGGCGGTGTTACGAAATTGCATCGAGAATCCGGCCGGATTATAAAGTTGTTCACGTCTATTCTGGGAATTATTTTTGAATAAACAAATACTTCTAGATAAATTCGGAATACCATATCCTCTAAGAAGTTGTCAGTTTCAATAAGAAATTAGTTGTGTTAAGTGGTTAAAAACTTTATATAGGTCGATTTGTTCAATAAAAACTGTTACTTTTTGTAAAGTGAGTTGAGTTTTAGTCGACCCGGATTCCGTGACAATATTATTCTTAGTTTTAATGCACTTTGCTTTCATCTCTGATTTTAGATTAAAAAAGTCATTAAATACACCTAAAATATACAAAAAAATGATTTATTTCAGGAAACATTTCTAGAATTAATGATTTAGAATTGATTAAAAAATAAAAGGAATTGCCTGCTGCTTTCAAATATCTTTTTATTTATTATTTAGTTAGCAAATGAGCAACCTTCAACATGCCAAAAGATTGAGACAAATCATTATTATCGTGAAAAATAACCTAAGTATAATTATATTTCCGTATGTTGGCACGTCAAAAATCCAATGAGCACCTATATAACAGAAATGTAACAGGACGCAAACCAAAAATTGAAAGTCACGTCCATCTAAAATGCCTTTAGGCTTGGGCGAAACAATCTAGCAACACATAATATCATGACTTATATGATTTAAGTAAGTATCTTTGTTAAGTGGTAGAGGCGTAACTGTTCTGTACATACATTAATATAATTACTGATAGAAACTTTAACAAATACTCCTAAAGCAAATGTAAAAAAAAAATATTTTTTTCTACAGCTGGAACCAGCATATTTTAACAGTAATTACCTATTTAGAAGGATATTAGTATGCGTGTAGAATATGTAAGACATTGTTAACTATTGTGAATAAAGGTTTATACAACACAACGACAACACATAGGTATTTGAGCTATCCTAGTAAAAAAAATTGAGGTTAGTTATATGTCCTGACCTCATCCCACAAACTATTATGATAATATGACGAGTGGTCTAAATTTCAAAAAAACTTATTTTTTAGAATTCGAAAACCTGCTATTCCATTGTTTCATAGGCTGATTCGCAGATTTAGTGTTATCCAATAAAACCTGGATTTGCAATTTCAAATTGACAGTTCCTTGGGTATTTTACTGAAATCCTGAGCATCAATATTTTGAAACTGAAAATAAGAGACGCTGTGAAGTTTATTCCAATAAAACAGATAGAATTGCATATTTGAATATTAACTGCCCATTTAAATATTGATACTAAAATTAAATTAATTATTATCCGGATATATTCGGATGCAGTTTGGTCTGCCTCGATAAGTGGTATAGGTATATAAAATCCACGGAAAGGTCCGACCAAGTATCAAATGAAATGCATAACGATCATTAAATCTAGGAATGAAGCAGTAAAATTGACATGGAAACGAAGAAGTTGTTGACATAAAGGCGTCAAGATTATGGCTCCACTTAAAACAAATGTTCCCAGCACCAGAGCGACTTTTCTTGGATGTACAAGACCGGATTGTCTGGACGTACAAGCAGAGTCTTGACTCGACCTAGCAGGAAATACGAATCTATTGCATACAGATGAAAAGTTTTTTCGCAAGTACTCACCGGAGCCTAATCTTGACAAAAATAGACACAAGCTACTTTGGGACCGTACTGTGTTTGCGGATGATGAGGAGCCGGATCCTAATTGCTCGAAGTCGAAGGTAACGATTCTTATCGATGTACGATATCGAGCAATTTAAGTCACCTTGTCAATTGAAATGAACTTGACTTAGCAGGATCGCAGCATTTTTTTATAACTAGCATTTATCGGTGTTTTTTTATTTCGTGTTTGGTTTTTTTTTTGAAAGGGAAGCTTTA